CTGACGAGCACCCCCCTCTCTTATATATTGGAGTCGTCCTCCCGCTTCTCTTCCGCTTACGCCTCTTATTTCAGCATTAGGTTCGGATGGCTACGTTGGGGAGGAAGGGAGGGAGGGCTACAACGCTAGTAAATGCTGTTTGAGCGGTACTCAGTGTGGTAGGGATGAAGGTCGTCCTTGAACTTCGAGATATGCGAAGTATGGGTGATATGCAAAGTTCCCAATATCTTTTATTTCTGGTTTCCCAGGAAATTTTTTCTCTCGGTTCGTGGTAAAATGCTTAAATTCCCGGTAAATAAATTAGCTGTTTTCCCGAAACAGTGCTTGTTAGAGTAGTCACCCCCGTGGTGACTCGCCATTTCATGGCCCTGAGCTCATGCATGTCTCATGTTTTTAGCGCCAAACCAGCCATGATGTGCTACTAATTATTTCATTTGTAATGGTCCTCACCAGGTTCAGCTGTCCAAGGAGGCTTACATAACTGACGTAGCTACTCAAGGCCGCTACTTAGGCACCCAATACACCAAGTCGTACTCACTGCAGTATCTCGATCCTGATATTTCGCCAGCAACATGGAGAGACGTTAAGGTCAGTAAACCATGAACACGAGCGTAAGCGAAATTCGCGTACAAATCAGGCTTTTTCTGTTCCTCTGCTCTCAGCCGAAGTCAACCTCGTAGGCGAAAGGTAAATACTGAGTGGGGTAGACTCAGTGGGCTTTCTGTTCACGAAGTCACGTTTGTGTCACACAACATGTTGTATCTAATAGATCATCTACATCTATAGACGGTCCCCGAGTTTTCGCAGCCCTGAGACATTCTACGTTAAGACGACGTTAAGGAAAGACTGGAAAGCTTAAGTCTCGTTGAAAGATAGTATATGACGTGTTCATATGATGCACTGTTGCATTATTACCTCTTTTTAATCCAAATCTGGGCAGCTAGGTACTTGATATCGGATCGACAACTGGATCGAAGAGTTCACTATTGATACACTGTTTAACATCGTGAGTTTCTTCGCATTTCATATTGTTTTTACTTTTGAAAAATTTACAGGAGAATGGTGAAGTGAAAACTTTTGCAGGAAACACTGACACGAACACAGTAAAGAAAAATGCTCTTCCGGCGGAGGTATACACGAAAGCAATTCGCTTTTATCCCAAGTCATACAACGTTGGAATCGCGCTAAGAGTGGAACTTTATGGATACCCAGCAGGTAAGTTGAATTATTTTACCTGTACAGCTGATTGAAGATAGCTTTATAATTTAGGCCTTGGAACCTTTATAGATGCGTGAATTCGTTGCAGCCGAACTAAAGACCGTCTTTGACAGAATGACAGCGGGCCCTTCGGTGCTGGGGGCCATTTTCATTGAAAGACGTTCCCGCCAATTCACGTCACACAAGGTGTCACGTTCAAGTACACTTACGGTGTCACGATATAATAAGGAGTTTCACGATGTACAGAATTACCCTCAAATCACCCAATAAAGAGGAACGATGGTTTAATCCTTGGAGAATATTGACTGGATCATCTATAGCATTTGCATAAAGAATATCTGACGCAACTTTCGTAGGCGCCGTTTAAAAGCAGACAGGGTAATCCAGGTGCTGGGATTAACCTAGTAGGAGGGTTTCCATCAACGCGTTTACAAAGCTGCTAGGGTTACCCTAGTACTGGGGTAACTCTGGCGTAACGCTAGGGTTAGGTTACCCAAGCTGCCTTGTAAACGTTCTGCTAGGTATATTTTACTGGTTTAATTTCCAGACCCTTTGAATGTTTTTCTGAAGTTTGTCTTCCGTTCTCTTTCTAGTAATCTCCTCTCGAATATACGTTCCTCTGCCACTTAACTGTATGGCCAGGTTTTCATCTTAATCTTTTTCATCAAATAAATTTCACATGCCGCGTGTGCTGAATTGTATTGCGAGGCCTTTTCAACTTGTTGTCGTTGTCTTACAATACTACTAGGGAGTTAAAGAAACCAGGACGCGACGTCGAGGACAACGTCGATTAAAAAATGATTTTATATTTTACCTACGAATCTCGCTATACTCTCAAGTCATTTTCCTGTGTTTCTCAGTGTCAAAACTATCACGAAACTGAATCTGGGACAGGGCAAAACATTTGAATTAAAAAAAAAAATTAGCCGTCGTGGTTCACGTTCTCTGGACAATGCGGAATTTGGTCATTTCACGTTGTTGTTTTGCAGAGGACGGAAGAGAAATGTACCAAGAGCTATAACGCACGTGCACAGCCATTGGTTTGCTCATTAAACCTGTTGTTTAGCGACGTTCCCGTTGTCATTGCCGTCGTGGTTTTCTTAAACTCCCTAATAAGAGGGTAATACGACCGCTTTCCATGACACTGGAAACACTGGAAAGCCGTAGTAACAGGAAGCACAGAGAGAAAAATCTAGCTTCTTAGCAAAATTCCTCCATTGTCGGCCATTTTGTTTACACAAAGTTGTCCTAGGTGGTAGGGTACGCTACCTGTGAAAGTTTGCTTGTAAACCCAGGCTCAGTACCTGTGATCCTCCTGATAAGGCAACCCCTAGCGGGAGGGTTACCCTTCCTGCTTCTAACCAGGTCCGGGGGTACTCCCTTATACGGGCTATATCGGTTCGTGCGGCCCCAAAGTATAGGGTTTTTCAGCCGTTTTGGTCGTAAATAGGGTATCGATTTTGGTCATTTTGGTCATAAATGGGGTATGGTTTGTGCACTCTAGTTTTGAACTGGGTTTGTTTTTGAGAAGAAACTATTTTTTCATCATTATAGATAAGACCATCAACAAAATCCTTTTATAATATAAATTATGTTTAGCGCAACTGTGTAAGCCGCACCGGTCATAAATAGGGTATCGAAATTTTTGTCAGGTCATAAATAGGGTAGGGAAAATCGCCGATTTTGGTCATAAATAGGGTAAGGGTTTTGGGATGCGGGTTCACTCCATTTTTCTGGGATCACCTCCCCCCTCCGGTTAACAGGGCCTTAATGCGAACATAGACCAGATGCATGTAACAAAAATGGAAGGTAGAGGTCTTTAAAAACGCTCGCTTGGATCAAACCGTTTATCAAATTTATGCTTGTATACATTGCAGATCTTTCCAGCAATCCTGGTTGCACTTATGTACTTCCTGAAGGTAAGCATCCTTCGGATATAAAGTTTATGCGAGCTGCACAAAAGTTACCTTTACCTACAAAGTCGATGACATTTGCTCTTTACGTAAGAAGTCGATAGTTTATTAGTGATACTTTGATTGTTGCGATCGGTAGACATTGATTATTTGACTTAAATATATCCGATCTGTAGGTTTTTTGTTCACTGAATTTTCAGTGGCATCTGTCCACCTTCATCAGAGTGAAAAATGGACGTTCGTTATAACGTAGCTGGCTTTTTACGCGTTTGAACACGCGCGAAGAGTTAAAACTGGAAACAAAGGAGAATAAGCGCGCTGAAAGACTTTTCTTTCATTCACCGCGTTTGCGTCCATCGTTGAGTGCCACGACTCTAAAAGAGTTTCTAATTCCTCGTTCGAGGATCGTGGGGTCTCGTGGGTGGATGTCATGATCAGTTCTTTGCGCGTGTTGTTTTATCGCTAATTCTCCGTTGCAAGCGCGGCCAAGATCGTGTTCGGCTCCGAATAAGCTCCATGAGCGCTTACTTTCACCTGGCTTCTTTTTTTTTCTAGCTTCACTCAGGTGAAGTCCATGACCTAACTTCGTGTGACTTGCCCTGTGATCTCGACAGCAAATTTGCCCCAAAAGTCATAGTCTATGCTAAGAGAAATTGGTACTATTTTCTTGTTTCCCTCCTTACTGGGAAGCTTTCATCTGGTAATTCCCCTTCCAAAATCGTGCCACACGAACAATATTTGACTAATATAGACGAAGGAAAATTAGTTGTTGAACTACATACAATCGTGGACAAAAGTCCTTGGGACACTTATGTAATGTAACGAATTATCTGTGTTTTAGTACTGAAGTTTAAAAAAAACGCTGCTATATCCTTTAAAAACGCGTTGCTGTCTCCCCTCGCCACCCAACACAATGTTGAAAATCAGGTGAAATTGAAGGTACTAGTTTTTAACAATGTGTGAGGGGGTGGGGGGCGAGGTTAGGTAGGTGAAGTTGTATTCGCGTCTGGCGTGTGCGCAAAAGCGTCAAAAGTGCAAATTTGTCTCAAGACTTTTGTCCATGATTGTAGATTGAATCTAGCCTCAGTGAGCAGCCTTCTTACTTCGTAAAAGATTTAAGCTGAAAAATTTCATAGTGATGACGTAGTCTCACTACAACCATCAGGAGTGAGAGATTCTCGCCCATGTAAACTTTCTTTTCTCTCGTAAGTTCTCGCGCGTTTAGAGATGCGTCACACTCGCGTTTTAGGTGCAGCGATCCCAACCAATGCTTACCTAACTTTTTAAAGATGCTGCTTTTAGCCTTCCCCCAAATCTACACACGTGCATTTCACTTGTGGATGTCTATCGATTTGCACAGTGTTTAGGTTGGAGATTCTCGCCCGTATCAACTTTCTTTTCACTCATAAGTTCTCGCGCGTTTAGAGATGCGCCACACTCGCGATTTCGGTGTCGGCATCTCAAAATATGCTTACTGGACCTTGTGAAGATGGTAGATTTGGTCCTTCCTCAAATCTACACAGGTGTATTGCTCCTATGGAGGACTATCGATTTAGACAGTGTTTAGGTTGGAGATTCTTGCCTATATCAGCTTTCTTTTCTCTCGTAAGTTCGCGCGCGCTTAGAGATGCGCCACACTCGCTCTTAGGTGCGGGAATCCCAACCAATGCTTACATAACTTTTTAAAGATGCTACTTTTAGCCCTCCTTAAAATCTACACAGGTGTGTTTTACTTGTGGAAGTCTTGAATTGGACAGTACTTGGGTAAGAGATTCTCGCCTATATACACTTTCTTTTCGCTAGTAAGTTCTCGCGCGTTTAGAGATGCGCCACAGTCGTGGTTATGGTGTCGGGATCTTAAACTATTTTTACTGGAGTTTTCTAAGATGCTGGATTTAGCCCTTTCTCAAATCTACACACGTGTATTTCACTTGTGGAAGTCTGCTGCTTTGGACAATGCCTGGGTTAAAGATTCTTGCGCTACACTCGCGTTTTAGGTGCAGGGATCTCAACCAATGCTTACCTAACGTTTTAAAGATGCTACTTTTAGCCCTTTCCCAGATCTGCATACGTGTATTTCACTTGTGGTAGTCTGTCCCTTTGGACAATGCTTGGGTTGGAGATTCTCGCCCATTGATATTTTTTTTTCCGCGTGTTTTCGCGCGTTTAGAGATACGCCACAGTCGCGATTTCGGTGTCAGCATCTCAAAGTATGCTTACTGGACTGTTTGAAGATGGTAAATTTGGCTCTTTGTCAAATCTACACACGTGTGTTTGACTTGTGGAAGTCTGTCGATTTGGACAATACTTAGGTTGGAGATTCTCGCTTATTCGACTTTCTTTTCCCTCGTAAGTTCTCGCTCGTTTAGAGATGCCCCACATTCGCGTTGTAGGTGCATGGATCCTACACAGTGCTTACCTAACTTTTTAAGGATGCAACTTTTAGCCCTCCCCAAAATCTACACACGTGTATTTAACTTGTGGAAGTCTATCGATTTAAACAGTGTTTGGATTGGAGATTCTCGCCCATATCAACTTTCTTTTCTGTGGTATGTTCTTGCGCGTTTAGAGATGCGACACACTCGCGTTTTAGGTGCGGGAATCCCAACCAATGCCCACCTAACTTTTTAAAGATGCTACTTTTAGCCCTCCCCCAAATCTACACACGTGTATTTCACTTGTGGAAGTCTATCGATTCGGACAGTGCTTGGGTGAGAGATTCTCGCCCATACCAACTTTCTTCTCTCTATTAAGTTCTCGCGCGTTTAGAGATGCGCCCCACTCGCAGTTTTAGTGTCGGGATCTCAAACTATGCTTAGTGGACTTTTTAAAGATGCTAGATTTAGCCCTTTCTCAAATCTACACAGGTGTATTTCACTTGTGGTAGTCTGTCGCTTTGGAAAATGCTTGGGTTGGAGATTCTCGCCCATGTATATTTTTTTCTCTCGCGTGTTTTCGCGCGTTTTGAGATACGCCGCACTTGCGATTTCGGTTTCGGCAACTCAAACTATGCTTACTGGAGCTTTTGAAGATGCTAGATTTGGCCGTTTCTCTAATCTACACTCGTGTATTTCACTTGTGGAAGTCTATCGATATGGGCAGTGTTCTCGCCCATGTTAACTTCTCGCGCGTTTAAAGATGCGCCACACTCGCGTTTTAGGTGCGGGGATCCCCACCAATGCTTACCTAACTTTTTCAAGATGCTACTTTTAGCCCTCCCCCAAAGCTACACACGTGTTTTTTTACTTGTGGAAGTCTATCGATTTGGACAGTGCTGAAAGTCGCCGAGATCGGGCTACGCACAGCGTGATTCTGACAAACTTTGGGTCGATTTCCAGGAACTTGGGCGATATTTCAGAGTCCCAGGGACTCTGGACTAATTCGAGAAGACTTTTATTTCCAGTGAAATGGACAGAGGAAAAATTTTTTAACGCTTGGTTATGAGCACTTTGAGCCCTGTTCAAATCAATAGACTTCCACAAGTGAAATACCCGTGTGTAGATTTGGGGGAGGGCTAAGAGTTGCATCTTTAAAAAGTTAGGTAAGCACTGGTTGGGATCCCCGCACCTAAAACGCGAGTGTAGCGCATCTCTAAACGCGCGAGAACTTACGAGAGAAAAGAAAGTTGATATGTGCGAGAATCTCCAACCTAAGCACTGTCCAAATCGATTGACTTCCACATGTGAAATACGTTTGTGTAGATTTGGTGGAGGGCCAAAACTAGCATTTTTTAAGAGCCCCGTAAGCATAGTTTGGGATCTCTACACCAAAAACGCGAGTGTGCCGCATCGCTAAACGCGCGTAAAGTTAGGTAAGCATTGGTTGGGATCCCCGCACCTAAAACGCGAGTGTGGCGCATATCTAAACGCGCGAAAACTTACGAGAGAAAAAAAAAAGTTGATATGGGCGAGAATCTGTCACCCAAGCACTGTCCAAATCGATAGACTTCCACAAGTGAAATACACGTGTGTAGATTTGGGGGAGGGCTAAAAGTAGCATCTTTAAAAAGGTAGGTAAGCATTGGTTGGGATCCTCGCACCTAAAACGCGAGTGTGGCGCATCTCTGAAAACGTGAGAACTTACGAGAGAAAAGAAAGTTGATATGGGCGAGAATCATTCACCCCATGATCTAATTGGTCGAAAAAATTGTCATCTTCTATCGTTTATCATCTAATTGGTCGTTACTTGGCGTGAATATGGAAAACTGACCGATCAACCGATCTCATTGGTTGAATTTTCGCGCGCAAGTAACGACCAATCTTTACACTTTCCCACACATTTCTAAGGCAAGGTATGAATCTAGTATGTATGGGGAATCGCCTGTTGATGAATGCTTCTAATAGATAGCAATCCTTCTCACAGTCTTGACATGTGATTTGTGTTCCACAGATGGTAATCCCGAGCCTGGAGGACCAGGCACAGTTTATTTCGATGGCTACAAAAGCGGATCCAGGTATCGAGTATTGAGTGTTGACAACCAGGGAAGACGTCCGAGGGTAAGTCGATGCCAAACGCCAAACGCCAAACGCCAAACGCCAAACGCCAAACGCCAAACGCCAAACGCCAAGCGACAAACGCCAAGCGCCAAGCGCCAAGCGCCAAGCGCCAAACACCAAACGCCTAACGTAAGGTTAACGCACAACGATTGAGCTCTGAATCCGCCAATTTGACGCTAGGGTCTATTTACAGACCCGCCATGTTCGGCATGGTGTACGTTTGTTGTTGAACAGCTTGTTTCACACTCTCGAACTCTTAGAATGCAAGATACGCGCAAACTACTCTCTCGACTCTCCCTTATCTTTCTCTGCACAGTTACTGCAGAATTCTGAGAGTAGCGACCCGGCTTGAGAAAGCTTTTTCTCGCGCGCTCACGGGTTTATCTGGACCGTTCCACCCAAACGTGACTTGAAATTTTAATTACAAATGCTAGTTCTTGGTTTTTCTTCTTTCTCCGAGGTTTGTTTTCCAGTTTTACTGGTTTTTCTGGCTACAGAAAAAAATAATTTCATTACAAATTTCTATCCCATCTTGGTGTGATTGAATTTATCCTCTTAAGACAAGGTAATTTTGTTTTAGACGGTAAAGCCATTATAGAATCAGTCACTGTTTACTTACTTATTTTTTGTTTTCTAAAATTAAGGTTCCTTGGTCTGGATTTCTTGTTAATTACGCTCACAATTTTTTTCTATTCCTATTACAGCTTACTAGTTCATCAGATGTTAACGTGTTCCATCAAACAGGTAACTTGTCTGTACTGGCTTTTGTGGCTGAACCGAGATGGTAGATTAGCGGGTCAGTGAGGCACGAGAAGGGCCCAGGACACCCACCTTTTTAAAGAAATGTAACAAAATGCCACCGCCCTACTAGTTTACATACAACGAAAACACTGTGAGAATCGGCTGTCACCATGCCGCAGGCCCCTTGCCACTCTCCCGCTAATCCCCTGCGCCGGGGAGTAACGGTAGAAAAGGAATTGGTCTTATTATATGACTAAGAGAGTTACTTGGTTATGATTGGTTGAGAACAGGCCAATCCATCATTAATTTTAAATTTCCTTTGCAGTTCAAATTAACGTGACGCTTTTGTTATTTCCTTAGTCATAACTTTGAATTCACTTTTGTCCATAATCCCTTGGAGTAATGGTCATATTAATCATCGTATTACTCGTGACATTTGACAATTCTTTCAACTTACACTCGCCTAAAGACTTGTGCAATTTTGACAAAATTTTCAAACATCACTCGGAGTGGAGATCCTTGATTGTACTCGCATTCATACGATTACCTTTAGGAGTAATGACATACGCGCATTACTGACTTACTTAAACAAGTGATTTTTTTTGTGACAGGCGCTGTGGCGTGGATCACAATCACCGCTGACCACAAACTGGAGCAAATTGAATTTTCAAGAGGAGCTCAGCTAGTCATCGCTGGCTCAGCTAAGAACCTAACCGTCGACAGCATAACGGATGACAATACTGGCCACTTGTATCTTCTATCTTCCGTTCAACTTCAAATAAACAGTCTTCTGTCGCCTTGCGCGCAAATATTCCACGGTGCAGAGCTCCTCTTGTCCGATATAAAACCAAATGTTTCCTTGGAGCGCTCTGTTGATATATACGGCGTGCTTACCATCAAGGGAGACCCCACCGTCTACATAGGAAAGGAACAGGGCGTGGTCACAATGCATCCGGGTTCTGGTCCCAATGAGCTGAAGTTTGGAGAACTCATCATCGAATCGATGGGTCATTTGCAGTTGTTGAACTATGATACACAATCTCCAGAGTCCTGTCGATGGTCGGTTTCTACATCAGGATCTAGATTCATACTGAGCGATAGTTCAAAGATGGACATCAAATGCCCGTGTAATCTTACGGGAGATCAGATGACCATGGGGCTCAATTCCGCGCTGAAAATTGAAGGCAACAGTTCTGTATCTTACGTTTCCATGAACGACGTCAAGATAAGCGGGATGTTTGACCCAGGGGTGCTTTCCCTGTTAGACGGGTGGAAAACCCTAAGGATTGAAAGATACGGTGATTTGAGTTTCTTTCCTTACGGGGATGCGAGACTTGATACGTTTTACTCCAACGGAAATTTTCACGTCGAAGGAGCTGTGTTCTTCAGAGGAAGAGATCCAGCCGTGACTAGAACAATCGAAGTTGACGAGTATGGCAGCGTACAGTTTGATTTGCCTCTTACGTCGAATTCTTTGGCTTTTGTGCAAAACAACTCGCAGGAATTCGGCTCCCACGGCAGACATTCCCTGAACGGAACTTCACTAGTTCATGCAGATATCGTTGTAGTCGATGGGACGTGGCTGCCGAAAAAGCTTAAGATCGAACCGGGATGGAAAGAACTGACTGTAGAACAAGGTGGCATGTTTCACTTTGACCCTGTAGGTGAATTTCACCTGAACAGGTTTCATCTCAATGGTGATGTAAAATCGTTGAGTGCTGTGAAAATGGCAGGCTTGTCCCAAGAGAGAATTCTTCAATGTGACGTTGGATTTTACGGTGTGGTACTCATCGAATCCGTGGATCTTACAACGATTCCTTGCCATGAAGTGTTTCTGTCAGGAACTCTGCGTGTCGGGAACTTGTCAATAGGCACATTATGGGATGATCTAACAGTGAACGACACTAACGGGAGATTTTACTTCGAGACTTCTGAGCCGCTGAACATCAATCGGACACGCGTCAGCGGATTAATGGAGACTGCATCAGCGGTCGGACCCAGTGCTCCCTTAACTGGTGATTCGTTTGTCATAGAACCAACAGGTGAAGTCAGCATTCACTATCGAGCCCAGCCTTCCACAGTTGTTGACGGCGCAATCAATTCCACATTCCACGTGACTACAGTTCAAGTGGATGGTTTTTTTAAACTTGGTTCGCTGTACCTTGTCACCGACAACCTTAATGTCGGATCATCGGGGCACATTTCAGTGGATGGTGGCGGTGCTCTCGGAGGAATGGGGGCTGGAGCCGGAGCTCAAAAAGACAGCGGAGGCGCTGGGGCGAGTCACGGAGGTCGAGGGGGACGTGGGACACAGACACTGGCGCAGAGCCTGATCTATGGTGACATTTTCACACCAGGAGGGTGGGGAAGTGGCGGTGGGAATGGCAGTGGAAACACAGGTGGCGGACGCGGTGGTGGACGAATTTTTCTTCAAATCAGCGACTCGTTTAATGTTAACGGGTTAATTCAGACGAATGGGCTTCCTGGACAGGTAATTTGGAATCGTTCGTCTTTTGTCTGAGATAAGCTATTGATAACTTCAGACCTAAGCGTGGACCTGATCAAGCAAGGGTTTACATTCCATTTGTAATAAAGGGTAGTAAAGTCTGCATATGAGCCAAGTGGCCCACCACGCCGGAGGTTATCCC